ACTAAGTATTTCATTGGGTGGCTGCAAGGGTAAAGGAAGATGCTCAGAGTAAAGTGTCAAGGAAACAATAGAGCAGAGCACATCGTAACAATGATGTCTTCTATGATCCTGCTTCAAAGCACCACATGTATTTTCACCCATATCGTAAGATTCTGTTCTAGTGCATGATTGGTAGAAAGACTGACTCATCTACCTTTATGTGTTTCTGTTACTCTGGTTATAGAACACTTACTTTTTAAATTCTCCTTTTCTGGATCAAATTAAAATTATTTGGATTTTTTTTCCCCAGTCCTGGAGATTGGACCCAGGACCTTCACACTGAGCTAAACCTCCAATTCTCTTTTCAATCTCCTGTTTTCCAGAAAGGTCTTAGTAAGTTGCTAAGTTACCCAGACTGGGCTCACACTCATGATCCTCCTACCTTAGCCTCCCAGGGTGCTGTGCAGCCTTCCTCTCCTTGGTATTTGTATTCAAATCACACCTGGGTTTTACTTACTTGTCACTCGGTGTGTGTTATTGAATTCCTATGCCAACTCTGCCAATACAAATTGGTCTCTGTCCTAAGGTAGAAACTGCAGCAATTCATTCTCAAAAGAGAGCCAGGGTTGGGAAGTGTTTAAGGTACAGTATTTCAGGTACTTCTCGGCAGCTAAGAATCTGCTATTTTTATTGATGACATTTCTATACACTCTTTAGGATTCCTTACAGCCTTACGTGGCCTTCATTAATCTGCTTGTTTTTGTTGATTTCATCTGCTTCACACATCCTAGGCTTGCCTCCAAAATGCCATTTTATGAAGGTAGATACCGAGTCACCTTAGTATGTTCACGGTCTTGTACCTTAAAATGGTGATCAGTACAACAAACCACAAGTAGTAAAATAGACCCCTAGAACTCAGGCATATCTTTCTCACTCTATTCTCTGAAGAGACAATAAACTCAAAGAAGTATCCCAACAGGCTGAAGTATTTAGTTTTACATCAGTTGTGTGTTTGTTCCCCTTAAATTTTTTCCCTGTTGTCTCAGGTGGGTGTTCCAAAAGCAGGAATGCTGAAGTGTCCTCATACAAAGATCCTCCAGGAAACAAAACAGCAGCTCTCCCCGAGATGTCTCCCAAAGGCACAGGTCTAGCCTTCCACGTGCCACTCGGTAACAGCTGCCACTGCAATGTCCACCCCACCATTTTGCTATCCTCACGGCTGTGCCTCACAGCAGTTGGTTAGGGAGGATCACATGCTAAGAAGCAACGCCTTCCTCCACCTACCCACATGCTACCCGTCCTTCTAGGCCTGCTCAGACCTGACTTCCTCGTGTCCTCTCCCTGCTCCTCATCACCAGCAGAGCCATCTGTCAAACTGCCCCACTGAACTTTCCATCACTCAAAGTCTGGTTTCTGCGCCAGTCACTGTAAAAGCCCAGTCTGGCTTCCACATGCCATGGGGAATTGACTGCCCCCTCTCCCCCACTCATCTAGAATGGGTGGTTGTGGTTAAAAAAAGCTAAAGAAACTGAAAGACCATTTTCTTCCTAGATATGCTTCTTAGATGCAACATCCTTGGATCCTGGTACAGAGAGGGCCCAGGCACTACAGAGAAGCCACACCCGCTGGAAGCCTCTGCACTGCTAAACAGCCTCCTGCAGAGCTCCTTCCATGGAACAAAAGGATAGGGCTCTGCACACAGATCCTGCTGTTGTTGCTTGCTGCTCTGTCTCCTATAAAATACAGACATGACTCTCATCAGGCTGCTACAACAAAACAGCATAAACTAGATAGTGTGTAAACAAGAAAAATTTCTCACAGTTCTGGAGAATGAGAAGCCTTACATCAAGACCTACTGGACACCTGTTCTCACTGTAACCTCCCCAGGGCCCCAGGGCCTCTTTATATACTAATTCCTCACCCATGTGGCCCAATGACCTCCTAAAACCATCACGCTGGCAATTAGTTCTCACCACATGAATGACACAGACTGTGGCAAATACAAATATGGTAGATGAACTTTATTAAATAAAACTACATAGCAGACTTTCTTGTTAATTCAGACTCCACAGTCAGCATCAGTTGCTAAGGGGTCCCAAAACTTCAGGTATTCCTGTTAGGAGTGACCTTTTACAGAAATGTGACTCCTTGCTGCTACCAGACGAAATTAGGAGTGCACATGGCCTGCTCTGGAAACTGAACAAACCACCAATTTTACTAAAAGGTTTATGGGTAGGGCGGCTACCACTGGGGTTAAGCTAAAATGAAGCTATTCATCTTTACATGGGGGGCACTAAAGCTTTCATTTATAGAAGTTCAATAAAATGATCATGTTAAAAAGAATTTTAAGTCCCTGTTGCCCCATATTATTCAACAAAAAGAAATCAAACTGAGATACACTCGAACTCATATACTTCATTTTTCTTCTAAGTGATTACAATGAAAAAGTTGTGACTATAATCGTCCAATGAATTCTACTTCAGGATCCTACTTTAAATACCATAGTGAAAAGAATTCACTAACTCACGGGATATAGCTCAGCAGCATTCTTGCCTGCCTGGCAAGTGCGAGGTCATGGGTTTGATCCAGTACTAAAGAAAACAAACAACAACAAAAAACCTACTAATTCTAGCTAGAAAAAACAGTGGCAATCTTGATAGTTCAATCAACATTAGCTGACCTTTGCTGCAGACAAGGCCAATTCCCCTTAATGACACACAAAAGACAAATGCATGACCCTCAAGGTGTTTAAAATCCAGTTTGCAGCCAGGATGTGCACATGACAGAAACGCAAAGCAAATGAAAGAGAACACTGAGTTACTGGAGGGCAAAAACTATCCTTTTCGGGCCAGGAATTTAGCTTAGCTTGCCTGCCTGACAAGCTTGAGGTCGTAATTTCGATCCCTGGTACCAAAAAAAACTAGAAAAACTGTCCTTTTCACAAATGTTTCATTGCTCCAACCTGTACAATATAAACACTCAAGAAATGACTGAACACATGACTGACGGCCACTGATCCCCGTTAATTCACCCTCCTCAGCAGACCTGAAATTCAGTCTTTCTCATTCCTGAGAGAATTTGCCACAGAACACACACCCAGCTTGTCATCTGTGGATTCACACTACCCAAGTACAGCATCTCCGCTCTACTTGTTAATCAGTTGCAATGGACAATGTGTATGACCCATAATGGACCTCAATTAGGCTTTAATTTCCTAATATTTAAAATGAAGCCCATGATTATTTGTCACCTCCAGAGAACTGGCACCTCTATCACTGCATTGAAAGCCCTTGTCATCTGGCTCCCACACTCACCCCATCCCTGAAGCCAGGTGCCCTGACACCCCACTGTTGCCAAATCTGAACATGCTCTCTCCTCATACGCCTCCATTCCTAGCTGCTCTACCTGGACTGCACTTTCTCCTTGGTCACTCAGATCTGTCTTCCTAATCCTTTGTGGCTGAACCTAGATGGTCCCTCAATCTTAGTTACCACCAGAGACTCTGGAGAAGACAGCGTTTCAGTTTAAATCCTGACATTATCATTCTCAGGTTCGCAACCTTGAAGGATTAGTTTCTCTGGGTCTTGTTTTTATTATCTTTAAATTGGGAGTGCACAGAACCTACTCGGTAGGGCTGTCACAGTTTGTGTCTAGGTGTCCCCCAAAGCCTCATGCACTCTTAGGTTGGGGCTACTCGGAGATGGATGGATCTATGTTGTGTGATGCTAGATTATGAAATTAACCAACTGACTGGTTTAGCATAGTGCTGGGTGTGGATAGTGTGAAGGTAGCTACCTTGGCTACGTATGTGTGGCACCACCCAAAATGTGTGAGGCCTGGAAGGGATTAAAAGGAGAAGCAGGTTGTAGCTTCTGCTGCTTCACTGTCTCCTGTCTAGTTGATGCCCCTCTGCCAGGTCACCTTACTTTGGAGCCAGGCAACAATAAACTGAACCCTCTACAAACAGTGAGCTAAAATACATTTTTCCTCCTTTAACTTTGGCTGTTAGCTATTTTGCCTCAGCAATGAGAAAAGTAACTAAGACCCGTTGCTATGAGGATTACAAGATACAACAAACATCTCCCCAAGACCCAGCCATAGAAAGTCATTAATTACTATCAGTGGCCGCAGGAATTTTCTTAAGATTTTTTCTTTTGTCTTTTTGTTTTTCCTGCAACACAGAGGATCACAACAAGGGTCTAAAGTATGCCAATATACTGGGCAAGCACTTTAGTACCAAGCTTAATCCTCAGCCTTCCTAAGTGCTTCTCATGTATTACCTATTTTCACACTCATAACATGAGTGGAAGTCCTTATGGGAAACAGGCCTGGAGTTGCCATGTTACTCTTGGAGTCGTTAAACTTCCAACAGCAAAGACAAGACTTACACCTAAAACCTGATAAGCAGAAAAGGCTTAGCACACTAACATGGGTCCGAGCACATCAAGTGCTTGCTTAAGGTCTCAGAACCAGTGACGTACATCTATATTCAACGAGAGCCAATTCCAAGGTGACCGGATTGTAACTTGAGTCTAATAACCTATAAAACACTGTGAAACAGGATTCAGGACAATGGAAGGAGTAAAAGTCCTCCAGTGAGGCAAAGGAAGGGGAAAAACGAAGAAAGGAGGAGGTGGGAAATAAGGAGGAAGGTGGGAAGAAGGAAACAAAAAGGGAAGGAGGAGGGAGGAACAAAAGAAGGAGAAAAAAGGAAACGAGGGAGGAAGGGAGAGAAAGAAGGAACTGGGGAGAGGAGAGAGGGGAGTAAAAAGGGAGGGAGAAAGAAGGAAAGCAGGGGAGGAGGAAGAAAAAGAGGACAGAGGGACAAGGGGGGAAGGGGAAAGAGAAAGAGAGAAAGAAAGTATGATCAGTATCTAATTCCCTCTATGGCAGGTAATTTAATTTTATGCTAACGAAGCAGCTTTGTCATACAGTCACAAAAACTCACAAAACATTTATGTGGCACTAAAGTATCCAAATATAACATTTTAAATAATTAATAAAATACTGACTCTTATAAATATAACTCATCTACATTTATATTTTTATTTTCAGAAAAGGACTCATAAATAGTTCACCTGAATGCATTTCACACTAGTTAATTAACTTATGTTCAAAAAGGTTTTCCTGTTTTTCATTTTCTTAACAAAAACACTTTATTTTCAATAGAAAAAAATTTACAAGCAAAAACAATAATTTCAGTAAAAATGGAAATCAACCACCATATCTTTTCTTGAGTTCTTCAACAGAATTATCTTTTAGTCCTGATTTGTCTATGTGCTTGAATAATACACGTGCAACTGAAAAAGAAAAGAAAATCTTGATTTTAATTTTTAAAAAACTAACTGAAATGTAAAGGGAATAATGACATCTATCGAGTAAGTTTTTTACATTTTAAAAATAATTACTATAAATTCCAATTCATACAATTAAAAAGTCAACCTAAAATATATAACAGTCCAACAGATTACTTCTTTAGAGAATACTTTGCTTTCATAATATAAAATTTCTCCAATATCCTCATTAGCATTATCTTGCAGATTAAACTAAATTTCTCTTGTACTAGCCTAAATTTTTTTGCCCGTTTCACAAATGTACCTTACTATTTTTATTTCCATTAACTACTTTTCTATCTTAATTTTTTTTTTTTAAAGACAGTGTCTTGCTACATAGTTCAGGATAGCCTTGAATTCACTATATATTCCTAGCTGGCCTCAAACACACAGTTATTCTACTGCCTCAGCCTCCTGAGTGCTGGGATTACAGATATGCGCCACCATATCTGGCCTACTCATTTTATTTTAAAACTTTATATTACTATTGAAAATTGAAAATCCATAATACCATCTATGAAATCACACTGTATGGTCCAGTTAGAAATTTTTTAGATTATATAATATATAACTACTGAAGGCTAAAAAAAATTTGTCCATGAATCATGTAAAATCATCATTCATACCACTGAGTGATCCACATTCAACAGTTTGGAAATCACTGTTATAATCCGTGCTTCTCAGCATTAAACTAGAAAACTCAGATCCCTGAGGCAGAGGGATCATTGAGAGTTCAACGCCAGCCTGGGCTACAAAGTGAGATCAAAGCTGGCCTAAGCTACATAGAGACCCTGTCTCCAAAAAAAAACCAAAACCCTGGAAAACTTACTATCAGTTATTAATGAAAATGTCAATGATCAAAGATGACAGCAGCTCAGTTATACACCAGAACCATTCTAAGTGTTTCCAGTGTTTAATTCAGCAGACAATGCTACCCAACCAAGACACTGCTGGTCGGCTACACTGAAGGGCTTGCATTTTCTGAGCACACCTTGAACTTACAACACTAGAGGGACAAAATGCACTAGACAATGACTCTGGGAGGTTATGAAGTACCAGCAGGTAGGCCTAGTAAATAAAGCAGACGAAGTTTCTGCTCTTATGGGGCTTTCATTCTGGAGTGAGAGAAATAATAAAGGACTACTAAGAACACTGTCAGCTAGCTATCTATCGTAAAGAAAAATGAGCAAGACAAGAGAGAGTGAGGAGGAATGGCAGGAGCCAGGCAGTTACTCTAAGCAGGCTGCTGAAGCCTGGTGTCCCCAGGTGGCAGCAGTCAGGTGGAAGCTGAGTGCATGAGGAAGCCCAGGGGAAGTGTGTGGGAAGGTGCTGTAGGCCTAGGGACAGCGAAAACAAAGTCCCTGGAGACAAACTAAGTTCAGCAGTCTAGTGCACTAAAAAGATAAAGAGCCAGTGTGCTAGGGCAAAATCATTTAAAAAAAAAAAAAAAAAGTAGTATTTATTAGGAACTTCAGCAGGAAATGTTTTTGGTTAACTGAAGATAAAGCAGAAACTTTAGGGCTAAAAGCCTATTAAAAAACCAGTGTCCAAATTAAGTACCTAAAAGCCAGCCAGGGATATGACTCAGCAGCAGTGTCTGCTTGGCAAGCATGAGGTCCTGAGTTTGATTCTTGGTAACCCCCCCCAAAAAAATCAGTAAGTACATGTCTGCTTTCCTAAGTACAATGTAACCTTCCTTATTACTCAGAGTCACTAGGCATTGCTGCTAGAAACAAAGATGTAGGAAGGCTAGGCTTAGCGAACAGCACTAGCTTAGAATGCATGAGGCCCTGGGTTTGATCCCCAGTGTCACAAAAATAATTTTTATAGTTTAGCAGAAACAAAAAAAGGAGTTCAAACTGTGTTTAGAACATTGAAAATGATCTATTGAGTTTTCTAATTTTCAGAACTAAAAAGTCTTGTATTCAAGTGATTTTTCCTTTTCCCTAAAATCATGACAAGGCCCAAATTTCAAATGACTGCAGTTTTTGCATAATTTCGTTTTACTTTAAGTAGGGTTTCTTAAAACTGACCATTCATCTAACTCAGCAATTTAGCTGCAATCAAACAAACTCAAGGAAATTACCTCCCTCAGAATGGACAAAACACTCCCAGGACCAGGCCCAGCTACACACTCCTGGGTAGGGGCTCCTCATGCGCCCCACAGAAGCAGGTCTCAAGCATGATACACTGCACCCTGCATGTCCAGAGGAGCCAGGCTGCAGACACGGACTGCCTGTGCTCAGGTGATGGGAAAGGCATCCGTCGCTATGACCCTGGCCCAATTCCTTTACTTCTGTTCTTTGTGTTTTTCCTTTAGGAAAATCACAATAGTATCTATACTGTATACTACTGTTGCAATTCCCAAATATAATCACAATTGTATTTAATTAAATTGTACTTTAATTGAACAGTTAATTTATAGTTAACTGTTTATACCCTATACATAGTAAGCAGTCAATAAATATCTGCCATCATTCGTTAAATATTAAAGAAACATATATAAGTAAGTAAAAAGCTTTTTATGTTAGAACTTACTCTTTTTCTCAGGTTCTGACATAAACATCACAGCCATATCGAACCTTTTTAGCTCAGAAAGTCTCTGTAAGATTTCAAAAATAAGTGATGGCTTTTCTTTCCTGAAACAAGCCAAATATAAAAACAAATGATCAGTTAAAAGTTGTTCACTATCATTAGTGGACAGAGCATTACCACAGGAGAATGTAAGTTAAAAATTCCACTTACTCAATGTAAAAGTCATGCAGAATTTTAATGATCTGGTTAAACACATCTGGATCTAGATTTTTCTGAAATAACTTAGGATACAAGGATGGTTCGATTTGCTACAAGAAAAGCAGACAGTTAAATTGTGGCAACATTCACATTTCACAAATCATATAATTATTGCTTAAATAAAGAGTAATCAAATTACTATGCATTAATACTTCAGCATCCTAACAGATAGGAAACTTGAGAGAGCTCTCAAAGAGTGACAACCATAACTAAAGATTTTAAAAAGACAGTAAATTTGGAACTATTTATTGAGTAACTAAAAGGGAATGTTACTATCATTACCCTTGAAAAAGACTATGATTCACTGAATTTCATGATTTTTCTTAAAAGCAAATAAAAGCTCATTTCAGGAAAACTGTCTAAATATTGCAAGCATTGCTTCAACACAGAAGGTACTTGATGTATTTTAGCTTTCTTTTCCTATCTTGAAGGATGCAAGATTAAGCGTAAAGTCTGAGATAGGAAATTAGATTGAGTTATCTTAGACATTAGAATTTAAAACAGAACCTATTCCCACAGGAAAACATGAAGGTGTCCCAGCTGGAAACACACACACACACACACACACACACACACACACACACACATACATACCACTATACAGTGGCAAAAGAAGCTGTTTTACCTTTTACTTTCAAGAGAACTACTAGCTTGCTCTCTCTTACCTTTAAATACCGATACAACATATCTGGAGAACTTTTCAGCTGTCTGAAATCAGATTCAAGTTGGAACGAGTTGGCAGGAACTGGAGGCAGCACACTTGTGACAAGCTGAGCGGAGATTTGTTCTACCTTTCTAGAAATCTTTTCACAGGAAGACTGACACACATCCTGTTTCAAACTGACTTGAGGTCTGAAATATTTCAGGGGCATCAGGCAATCAGTGGGAAAGGAACCACAACAATTAAAGCCACTAAAGGAAAGAGCAATTGGATATTTTAAATTTCTAACTTTATTAATATTTTGTCACTTGTATTTGAAACTATATATGTCATTTGGTTTATATACTGCATCAACTTGAGAAGTTTAGAAGTTGTGAGAAACTCAGCAGGGAGTCAGGGTTCTTTGTGAACATACTCAACCTGTGCAAAGGAGGGAAAGGAGCTTTTGTGAGCGCTATACCACCTGGGGGTGGGGTGGGGTAGGAGGAGCTGGGTACAATACAAAGCAGAAGAGGCTTGCACTTCTCCCTTTTCTTCTGGCTGCTACCTTAAAGTGTTAGCCCAGTGCCATGTCTTGGAGCCAGCTGATTATGGACTGAAACCTCCACAACAGTGAGCTAATTAATCTCTCCTTTCTTCCTTCTGGGAGTCAGGTATTTTGTCTCAGCAATGAGAGAAAAGTAATCAGGACAGGTGGGCTAGCTTGGGCCTCTTTGAACATACCATCCTGTACCACTGTGTGTCACACACATTCGCAGCTCAGCCTTTTGGAAATCTGGATTACAGTTTCAATGTATTTCAAGAAGGAAGAACTGTATCTTCCTTTAAAAAAAAAAAAAGTTTCCTATCTAGGATTTTCCCACAATCCACACTATTACTTCAAACAAAACAATTACAGTACTGAAGTTCAAAGTTTAAAAATCACACACACAACTTTTAGTAAGTTTGTTGAATAGCAATATAAAACTATACAGAATATATGTAAAATTAACCAATAGCCCAAAATAAACTTAGTCTACATTTACTTTCATCAGTAAAGAAGCAGATACGAACAAGTTTTTTTTTAAATTCTAGCAATATTTTAAAAGTACCCAACAGTCTTCAATAATAATGGATGAAATAATGGTAATGTCTAAATTCTACATTTTTGAGGTTTCCTTTTAAAAATTAGTTTTCTGCTGAATTAAATAAAAAAATACTAAAGCCCTAAAAAAGAAAAGCAATTTGATCAAGGCTCTTGCTTTTCATCTCTAAATCATCTCTATATTGTTCACTATGGTAAAGAGAAAAGGATTATTCCTGAAGCAAAACCTCACCCTAGGTTCACACAGCAGAGAACACAAAGCTGGCAGTTCAAAATACCAGTGGTAACAAATCAGAAGTCTTCTCCGTAATACTAAATTTCTAGTCAATTACCATTATTACAGATTATCAAAACCAGTATTTCTACTCACTGCACAGCCGATGTATCACTAATTTCTTCTATTTTCAATACTTTTGCTCTTGGGGTATCACTTGAGGGCAAAAGGTCCTCCTGGCTTGAATTCTTCTTACTTGCAGTGCCTGTGGCTGCTATTACATTTGCTAGGTTAATAGGATTACTCTCTGGAGCAGCAGCAGGAGTGCTATCTTGCACATCAACAGTCTGTATCAAATTACCAGTCTCTTCAATAATAACCTTCTTGAGTGGTTTCTAAAACAATTAAAATCAATTCTTTAACATGTTAAAGGTTTTCCATTTTAGGGTCACAAATCAAAAGGACGCTTTGCTATGTTCTTACAGCTAACATCCCAGTCACCAGTAAATTCAATTTAAGTGGCTAGACAGAATTGGGAATTATCCTCTGTCTGAGAATACAAATAAAAAGCTATGCACCTCTCCTAGGCAGGTCTAAACGGGGAAGAGAGACAACACACAAGTTACTATGAGGCACTGGGTATACGTGAAAGATGAAAGCCCAAAGTTCCCAGAGAACTCAGGAGGAAGCTCGCCCTGACACCGGGGAAGCATTCACAGAAAAGGCACACAAGACTGGCAAGCTGGAAGGTTGTGGTGGGGTCCATGGGCAGGGGACAGGCACGGTGGGGCTGGCACAAGGGGAGGTGTGGTATAGGTAGCCCGAAAGGCCACCTGAAGACAGCTTACACAGGGCCCTGCGGGCCATGCCAAGGAGTTTGGACTTTATCCTAGAGGTAAAGAAGCAAAAGAAAACTACGACACACCAACAACAGTACTGTGAGCTAATGGAAAGCAAGCGGAACAAGGACAGACCAAGGCCGGGCTACGCTCAGCCTCAAGACAACCAGAAAACCTGAGTTCATTCCTCACATAAACCAGCCAAATTTATTAAATTATATTTACAAAGTTGGTTTTCCAATTTAATAAAATAAATAACATTCAATGTTTTCATCTATCATTACATGTACCAAATACTTTCCATTTCTCCTTAAGTTTGTAATATTCTTTTATATTTAATAACATGTAACAGAAATGCTCCAGGAAATACCATTCCATTAGAAGTGTTGAAATGAAATAAGAAAAATTCCTTTTAAAATTTGCAAATTTTTGGAAACGGCTGTGGCTTTGTGACAGAGTTTATTTTCCTTACTTATGTGCAGCGCATCTCAAACTTTGATTTTAAAAAAAGAGAAACTTTCCTCAGCATACTCTTAAATGTTCATTCCAAATGCACAGGTAAACTGTAAGTCAAGAGTTACCTGACATAGATATTAAACGCAGTATTAAAAACATTTACTTAACACAGTTAAAATAAGATTAAGTGATAAGTGTTACTGGAGGAACATACAAAAATGAAAAAACGATAAACAAATTTGTAAAAGAACCCTGCCAGCTGTTCCATTTTAAAGAACAGTGGTAAGGGAAGGGCTTCACCTGGCTTACAACTCTTATCGGCCGGTTTTTTAATCAAGATATGGACCAAGAACAGACATATGTTAATTTTAAAAAAATTTCCAACAAGCAGTAATTATAAATTAAATCCATGTGGTGGCATTTAAAACCAAATCTTTTCATTAACGAAGAGATGTGTGATATGAGCCTAATTAACATTCTCCTCACAGTTGGTCTCTACAAGTCCAGACTTGTGGGAACTGGGTCAAGGGGGCCAGTGATGACTGCAAAAACGAGAATAAACCGTATTTAAGAGTACAAAAGGTATTCTCTCATTCCGTTCCCCTCTACTTTCTGTAGCCTGCCTTCCTTTCCTGACCACTATCCCCAGTGCCCAGTAGTCTCAAAAATACACAGCTGCAGAGGAAATTAACATTTGTTTCACCAGAATTACCTGAAATTAGCACCTATGCACGACTGCCTTTGATATAAATTTATCTGTGAGTTGCTGTCAATTTTAGGAGAAAAAAATAAGGGTAACAGAGGGAATCGGTAATCTGCTCAAGATTTCACAAGTTTACGAATAAGGATAAAATCAAGTCTCAAAGGCATTACTGCGTTTTTTTTTTTTAACCTTCTCAGTCGTATACTAATTCTTTTTGTGTGGGATAATTTACAAAATAATTATTCCCACATTGCTTCTTTCACAGAGCTCTCAAGGTACTGCCACAGAGATTTAAATTCATGCTGAATTTTCATAACTATCAACATAAATTGACTTTTAAAGTGAAGAAGAGGGGAATCTAACCAATTTGCAAAAGCTGCTTAGAGCTGGTCACAGGACATTATGTTTACAGATACCTGATTTACCACATGGCAATGTCTTTCCTAGGTGTTATAGACTATAATATTCAACAAAGGCTTTCTGTAAACTTGTCAATTAAATTTTTTGTGAAAAAGTCTTACAAAGATGTTGAAAGTTTAAATCACACTTACTTTTATTAAAAAGAATGGACTAGCCAATGAATATATGGAAACTAATATATGGAAACAACTAGATTTTTGCCTGGCACACAAAACCAATATTATCCCAGAAAATCCAAAAATATAGTCACAATAGGAACACTGGGAAGTACTAACCTACGGAGTCATCTATCTGCTACTAAACTGAAATGTGAACATAGCAAAACAGATGTCCTGTCTCACTTTCCTTTATAAATGGATAAAAATATCTATTCTGGCTTACAAAATTGTTATGTCTACCCCCAAGGCTCATCTAGTCATAACAGTTATTTCCCATGCGGGGAGGAAGAGGATCCTGATCACTGAAGGTCACATGGAAAGGTTCATGGAGAAAGATATCTGTCAATTTTCTGATCCAGCTGGTAGTTTTATACATATAAAAAAAATATATAAATGTTAGAAATTGCCAGTTACATCAAATCTATATTGGCCTTAAATTAATTCAACTTCAGATGTTCAACACAAAACCGCTAAACTCACACCAGCAATCTGTTTTTCAAGAAAAAAAATTACCTAGTAATAAACACTACAGTATGCCCAAAAGTAGGATATTTTTGCCTATTCTACATTTTGCTTACGTGCTAAAGTTAGATCCACCCCCTCATAAAACACAAGGCTAATGTAGTAAGAAGTAAAGCCCAGAAAGAACAGTAATGAAATACAAAAACATTTCATTACCAGATTGTAAAACTGCTTCAAATGCCTCTTTAAAAAAAAAATATATAGAAACCCCTTCAAGGAACATTAAGTTATTCTAGAAACCTAACAAATGAATTTTCCCTAATTGTACTATGACAATAATCCTAGGAAGCTTTTTTCTTTTTTTAAATTAATGCATATTAGTTTTAACAGAATACTGGGTTTTTGGTGCATTCATACACACATAAAAAGAGCATTTCTTAAAGATTGTAAAATTGTCTCGTGAAAAGTTTTAACATTTTTTTGAAGACTTTACTAATTCAACAGTTTGTTTCCAATTCTATTACAATAATAATGATATTAGGTGGGCATGGTGGTGCATACCTATAAGCTCAGCACTCAGGAGGCTGAGGTAGGAGGACTTTAGGAAGTTCTGGCCAGCCTGGGCTGTATCGTGAGTTCAAGACTAGCCTGAGCTACATACATAGTGAGACCCTGTCTCAAAAAAACCAAAATTTTAAAAATCTGATACTTAAATGGCAAAAAAAATAAAGTTCTCTACTTACAGTTGATCCAAGATGAGGTGGATTATCAGTGGGTTTTACCACATTTTGTCTTTGTGTGGAATCAAGAAAAACAGCATCCCAGTGTCCTTTCTCAATTAATTCCTTAAAAATAAATGTCATCATAACTATCAACATATCCTCAAGCTAATTATCTTTTGGAAAACAGGAGCATATTTTGGCAAAAAGAATATTTTACCTTTTTAATTTTGGAAAGTTCAGTGATTGCTTGTTTATTTCCAGGTTCCAAAAGTAAAACAGTTTCAAAATCTAAAGAGAATTTAAAATAAAGTAGTGAAAATAGACATTGTTCATGTAACTAATTATCCCACTTTTACTTCAAGAACTTTTACTCAGGAGTACAGGCTGGCCAACCTGACTACATACTCGGAAACAGGTGAGTGATAATGAAAACTAACATCTATTAGGTGCTACTTTTAGTATTTTTGTATTTGATGACACCAAGAACTCTGTAAGCACTAAGCTCCATCTCTAACCCTTTCTATTTTTTTCTTTTGAGACATGCTTTAAGTTTTCCAGGCTTTTCTCAGCTTCCTCTAGTTGTTTTTTATGAATTTTCTTTTTTTCTTTTCTGAGACAAGGTCTTGCTATTAGCTCAGATTGGCCTTGAACTCATGGCAATCTTCCTGCCTTAGCCTCCCAAGTGCTAGAATTACAGGTGTGTGCCACTGTGCTTGACTACATGAATTTTTATCTAAATGTCACTACAAGCTCATTTTACATATAACGAAAGTAGCTCAGAGCTCATCTAACTTACCAAATCTCACACTGTTAAAGAGATAACACAGTAACTCACCAAATGTAGAACAGAAGAGAATCTATACACTGGAACATTATATGGCCTTAAAAAGGAATCAAGTACAGTACATACTATAAATGGGTAAATTTTGAAGATTTGCTAGCTTAAACAAGCCTGATAGAAAAAGATAAATACTATTATAACAATACCTATATGGGATATTTAAAATAAAGTCAAACAGAAAGTAGAATGGTGGTTAGTAGGAAGCAGAGAAAAAGGAAAATGGAGAATTATTTTATGGGTACAGAGTTTTAGAATGGGGCATGACAAAGCTCTGGAAATGGTAGAGGTGACAGTCACACAGCAGTTAAGTATGCCTGACATCAAAGTATACACTTAACTAAAACATTAAACACAGTCTTATTTCATCACAGTTAAAATAGAGTCAATGGCTGCAACTACCAGGTTTGGAGAGAAGCAGTCATAATTTTTTCCTTTTTGGTACTGGGATCGAACTCATGACCCCACACTTGCCAGGCAGCTGCTTGTGCTGCTGAGCTAAATCCCCAGCCCCTCAAACAGCCAGATTTAAACGCACATTATTAGGGGAAAAAAAAGAGGCTGAAAAATCGATCATGTAAGTATTGATCACAAGAAGTTAGAAAAACAATAAATGAAACCCAAAGACAAAGAAATAAAATGTAGAAGAGAAACAAATGAAAGAAAAAAGACACAGAGGAACCAAGTTAGCTCTTTGAAAAGACTTGAGTATCCAAAGACAAGATCACAGAGAAACATGAAAAAAAATAAGAATGAACAGGCACAACTACAAACAGTCACACTGTCCTCTGATCTCCTCCCTTTTCATTTCTGCCTTTTTCTGGCTTTTTTCTTTAATTTAAACGTTCACTCAGTCTCATTGGCAGTTAGAGTGGACCCCAAAGGATGGAAGGGGCAGTCCTTCAATTCTCCCCATCATCTAAACTGCACAGGAAGTGTACTGCTTTAGGCCCAGCACCCCTGAGCCATGGGAGCGCTATGCAAAACCCTGCTTCTAACCCTGGGAACCTCATCAGAGAGTATGACAGTTGTTTTACCTTGTTTGGCCTCATTTATCTTTCCCAAAAATGTTCTTGCAGTTCCTCTTCTGGCAAAGGCTTTAGAATATGAGCCATCTAATGAAATGGCCTGTGTGCAGTCTCTTTCAGCTTCTTCATATCTAATGAACATGAGAAAATTACCAACAAGAAAAAATGTAGGTTAAAGAAAAACTTCATGTAAGCTGAGTTTTTAATTTTAAAAGCATGTAGATAATTTAAGTGACCAACTCCCAAATCTGTGTTTAAGGGAAAAGACTATTTTTTAAAATTTTTCATCTTCACTAAATTTTAGAACCATCTACTAAGGAAGGAGAAGGTCCAGATTAAGAGAAAGTCAACAAACGGTCTACAGGAGGATGGACTTCATGATGGTGAAATGTAAGAAGAGACAAGAGTGCGACTGCTGACATGGATACGCCATTTCTTCCCCCACCTCAAACACACAGTGCTATGACAGGATTATAACTGACATTAGGTTTATAATAAAGTTTTACACACTCATAGTATGTATCACTTAAGGAAAAACAACCTACACAAAATTAAGGATCTGTTATGTATGTGAAAGCTAGCATCTAAAGTCTGCATAAATACTACTTCATTATGCAATTAGCAATCACTCAGCTATGCTATGACCACAAAGAGCAAAGAAGGGCTATCGTGTCTCTCTCACACACACACACACACACACACACACACATTCTTTGGACCCTCTCTTACATTAAAGTGACATTAATGAACTACTGCTAATTTATTAGGAGTGAAAATGATATTGCAATTATGTATGAAATATAATTTTATTTAAAGATAAAATGTCACAATGTCTGAAAATTAAAACTAATATGACAAAAAGGTATGACTTGTTCAAACTAGATGGGTACATGGACTCACACTTTTTACTGAAGTCTGAAATTCTGTAAGAATATTTTTTGACAGGTGGGCCTAGTGGCACACACCTATAACTCCAGTACTTTGGAGGCTGAAGCAAGAGTACTGCTTTGAGTTCAAGGCCAACCTGAGCTAAATAATGAGTTCAAGGTCAGCATGAACTGCATAGCAAGACCTTGTCTCAAAACACCAAAAACAGTTTTGAAATAACTTTATATGAACAAAATCAGAATTTCTAGTGAACTTAAACATCTCTAACATCTTCTTGCTTTTCAAGATGAAATTATGGTAAGTTTCCATCCTGAAAAGCATCCAAATGTAACCAATACTCACTTCTCAATCTTCAGATAGGCCATTGCTCTGTTAGCTGGAAGAAGGGCATTAGCGCCATCTGCTGCTATCCCTCTAGTATAGCACTCAATTGCTCGCTCATATTTTCCCTCTTTGAAAAACGCATTCCCCTATCATTTCAGAGAAATAGAGAATAATCAAAACACATGCACAAAAATCCTCTGAATTCAAATCTTAAGAAATTCTCCAAAGCTACTGTTCAATATTATGTCAGTAATTAAGTATTAAGTCAGTAATTCCGTTGTTAAAACTCATGAGACATGTTTTAAAATCTGCTGGTATAGGTTTTTATGGTTATTTATTCTCTTTCCAGTACTAAAAAAAAAATACTGTGAACTACTATATTATTTTGCAGAATTCATCAAATTCTAATTAAATATTATACAAACCTTAAATGTAAAAACATGTTTTAGCCAGGTATAGTAACGTGTGCCTATGATTCTAGCACTTTGGGACCTGAGGCAAGAGGATCACAAATTTGAGCCCAGCCTAGGCAACTTAGTAAAATCCTGACTCAAAAGTAAAAAAAAAAAAAAAAAAAAAAAAAAAAATTTTTAAATTTAAAAAGGACTAGTGAGCTGCGGATTTAACTCAGTGGCATAAGCACCTGCCTGGCAAGTGTGAGGCCATGAGTTTGATCCCCAGTACAAAAAAATAAAAATAAAAATTGATTAGTGATGTTGCTTAGTATAAAGGCTCCTGGTTTGATATCCAATACCAAAAACAAAAAACCTACATATATTTTAATAAAGGCCCAAATATTATACAAGGTGTTTACTTACAATAGAAACTACATGAAATTATATGAAAGAATTTCATACCTCAAATAATTTTTGTAAAGTAATACAGTACCAGAAAAGTACAGCCCACTCTTCAGTAATATTAATATGCCTAAATATAGACTAAATCAAAGTGTATTGGAATATGACACTTATTTACAATCATTTTGATAACACAATCATTCCATAAGTATTTATTAGGAATCCTCTATAGGCCCATGAAATGCCATAAAAACATTATCTAGCCAGGCATGTTGCAGCAACCCTATAATACTAGCACTGGGGAAGCTGAGGCAAGAGGATCACCATGAGCTCAAGGACAGCCTAGGCTACATAGTGAATTCAAAGCTAGGCTGAACTACAAAGTAAAACCCTGTCTCAAAAATTAAAAAATAAATTCCTTCAGGTCAAGATTTGTAAAGAAATTTCAGCCAGAGTTGTGTGACTTAATGAAGTAAACCAAAGAATAACTATAGTTTATGTGTTAAATTTATAATTTCCTATATACAAATACATTAAAATCCTCAAAAACAGTCCATTCCCTAAGAGTAAATGTTTCTAGAATTATTTTTATGTATTTCCATCAATTACTCAAATTTTAAATTAGTGACCTTGAAAGGTTTTAGTAAATTTCCAGATGCATCTTAAGAAAATCTTAACATTAGCAGACACAGAACCTTAACCAACACACAAGAAACTAAAAATAAGCACTCTGGAAAATATACACATCATATCTTGGAATTCCTTTAGGGTACCAGATCTTTCTCTGAAATAGCCTGCTGCTTGTTTTGCTGTTCTTCAATTTGTTTCTTCTCTCCTTCAGTTGATGCGATCATTGTAGCAATTTCCTTTGGACAGGAGTTTTCTTTAGATGTTAAAGCCTAGGAAACATAGCAACCAACTAAAATAAAGCAAGCAATGCAAGATAAATACATACTTGGCCTTAAAATATATTACTCCGATATGTTAAAATTCCTACCACATTCAAATAATTAAAATAGCTGGTTAAAAATGGTAAAAAAAAAAAAAAAAACTATCGCTTTAATTCAAAAAGCAAAGTGAGAGGAATATGCAACCAACTGCTCAGTATGATTAGACAAATCAAAGAAAATGCAAAGAAATCAAGACATGTCAAAAGTGAAAAATCAGTGAAATAGAAAACGAATTCTGTTAGAAAAAATAAAGCATCAATAGTTCTAAATGGCTTTAGATGATGATCAGGAAAGACATTTAAAAACCATTACACTACTTCTAGCTTGCAAAAGCATTTGGTAAAATTTTGCAGTACACAGAAATCACATTAGAAGATCTCTTTATTAAGAAATCTATCCTACCTATCTCCATGAAAAGCTTTAAAGTCATCAAATAAAGGTCATATGTAATTCCCTTAAATAGCAATACTTTACCTGGTTGATTTTCCGGAGTTCACTTGTTGCTTCAAAGTTATTTGGTTCCAGTTCTAATACTTTTTCATAGTCTAAGTAAAATACAAGATAAGAAACTTTGAAAAGATAGGTATTTAAGGAGAGAAAAGCCAGAGCCTCCCGGAGAATCAGCCATGCTGGGACTAGGAGGACTCATCAAGAAATCAACTGGCTAGCCTTTCTGGTAAGCCGTGCAAGCGCAAGCTGCGTGGATTCCAGGGATAGAAAAGTCAGCTAGTACCTCCTGTGACCCTACAGGCTCACCGCTAGCTGAGAATTAAATGTAGTATCTATCTGCCCCACCACACCCCGTAAGCAACTGACTGGTCTGGAGGACAGGCTGAGTTGAAGGCAACTAAGGTACATAAAGCCACTACATGTTTCTATTGTTTGGTTGATTTTTCAGGCCTGGGGCCAGTGGTCTGAGCATCTCTTGGGAGGATGACTGTATGCAATATAGCAAATATGGAGGATTTCTTCTATCTCGTCTTTGAAGACCAATAGTGTTCTCAGTTTTGCTTTGTCCTTTTTATTTTTTTTTTGCTTTATTCAATATTCTGTTTTTATTGGTTTTATTCTGTTTTGTTTTTGGTTTGATTTTGCTACACCTGATGGAATGGACAATTATGGTAGCTATTGTTTCTTTCCTACTATCTTCCTTTGACGTTCTGTACCAAATTTGCTGCACCGTTTTGACTGGTTTTGTTCTGCTTTGTTTTGTTGGATTTTACTATCTTTAAAATTTTTAAAAGGATAGGTATTTAAAATATTTACAGAAAACAATAATCACCTGTTACATGTGACATGTAAGTACTACAGTATAGTAAAATGAAGAACTAAGAAATACTAAAATTATTTCTTCACCTTCCCCCAGGGAAACAAAATCCTAACAGAATCCTGTAACAAATCATCTCCCACCAGCTTCTGTCATAAGGTATATATCATTAAACCAAAAAAAGCAAAGTCTATTAAGTATTAGCTTTATTGTTATTTTTTAGCTTTATTGGTATGTATACTACACAAATCTACCTTTATAGAATGGAAGCCACAGAATTTACAAATAAAAACAGTAAAAGCTTTAAATGTACTACCTACTGCCCTGTAACAGCCAATAAGATGTTTTAATCTCTATTTTACAAATGAGAAATCGAAAACCAGAGAAGTTACTGGTCATATAACTAGTCTATGACAGAATAACAATTTGACCCAAAATCTTATCAGTGGTAAATCATGCAGTTTCCCAAAGCATCAAGATACCTTTTAAACACAAAAAATGAGCTCTGCTGAGATATTTTACAGAAAGTTCTCTGAAGGTAATTTACTGTAATTATTTAGTATTGTTTGCATAATGTCTGTTAGATTAAGCTATTAAAGAACTTATAAATAATGACAAAAAATATTAACTCTACCTTTTTTGGCATCCTCTAATTTTTGCAAAGCAAATCGAGCAGCACCTCGTCTGGCATAAGCCTTTGCATAATTTCTATTTAAAGCAATTGCTAAATTACAATCAGATTCAGCAACAGCAAATCTGCGATACAAAAAATTAAAGTTAATAAGGATCATTTATTAAACTAAAACTTCAAAATTTGTTTCTGAAATACCAAATACCTAGAAAGAGAATTTTCTTCCCAATTATAAGCACATTTTCCACTTCCTCATATTTAGTTAACCTAAAAGCAATAATCCTTAATAGTAAAACTTTAGTAGTATTCATTTTAATGCAAGAAACAAGATGGCCCAGTATCACTGTTTTTTCCTAGTACTGTACTAGAGAACCTCCTCAGTGCAGTCCCATAAAAAAGTAATGAGGTAAGGAAACTGGAAATGAGCTAAAAGTAGCTCCATGATAGTGTTTCCTGGGATACATGAGGCCTTGGGTTGAATCTTCAGTATTCACACCCCCCCAAAAAAAATAAAAACAGAAAAAATCTAGAGATTAAAATACTGCTAAGATAATGAAAGTTCAACAAGGTAGTTGCTTTACATACAAAGCAACAACAAAAACATTAACAAAGAAGTGTAAGAGACCAAGGCAAAAATTGTAAGATGATCTTCAAAGATATAAGATATGGGGCTGGGGATTTAGCTCAGTGGCGTAAGTGCCTGCTTTGCAAGCGCGTGGTAGTGAGTTTGATCCCCAGTACCAAAAAAAAAAAAAAAAAAAAAAGATATAAGATACATGGAACTATTTCGTATCTGTCTATAATAAGACACAAAAGTCATAACAATTTTATAATTCTCTCCAAACTGATCTATAAATCTCATGCAATTCTAAACAAAATCCCAAAGGGATGTATCAAGAAATTTGACAAAATGAATGTAAAATCTATATTGATGAGCAAAGTTCTAAGAATACTTAAGATACTCCTGAAAAATGAAGTACAGAATATGCCTACACTAAATACCAAGATATAATTATCATGACTTAGTAGTCAAAGATAGCATGGAATGAAGGTAAGGATAGGTACAGACCAAGACAAGACACACAGATGAGAAAATGAACCAAGCAAACTTGATAGATGACACCAGTGATGCTAAAAATTCCATGGGAAAGCTTGGCTGTTCCCATAAGCAAGACTAGAACAACTGGATATTCATACGGAGGAAATACGAAACTGAAATCCTAACTCTAGCACATCTGAAAAGTAAAACTTCAATTTAGAAGGAAATACAGGAGACTATCATGAATTCAAGATAGTGTACAAATTGTTTAAAGGTACTAGTCATTAATTTTAAACATTAATCATTAAAAATACCAATTAATTTGAAATATATTACAATGAAGAGCTCCTATTTGCAAAGACATTTATTTTATGAAATAAACTGTCACTCAACTCTAGAATTGAAACAAAGGTAGGCTACAAATTTACAAAAGAAAGCTATTATGAAGTGACAAAAACTAGTATCTAGAAAAAAGAACTTTTAAAAATCAACAGAAAAAACAAGAGAAAAATGGCCCCGGCCAGGCATGGTGGTGCATGCCTGTAATTCCAGGACTCAGGCTGAGGCAGGATTGCCATGAGTTTGAGGCCAGCCTAGGCTACATAGCAGCACCCTGCCTCAAAAAACAAACAAAAAACCCCAAAACAAAAATGGCCCAAATACAAAATAGGCATTTCAAAGAAAAAAAGTCTTGAATAAACATATAAAGGTACTCAACCTAACTTCAAGGTGGAGAGAGAAGACTCAATAGACCATACTGGCTCCAGGACAATCACAGCATGAGGGACAGAGGGGTGAGGCGGAAGGAACAGCCCCCACACCTGCTCAGGAGAGTACCTGGGAAAGAAACAAGCTCACCTGCAGTCAAGAGTCTGGCTGTATTTGGATCTATAACTGTACTTGGTTCTGTGCACAAAGTCAGCAAAGTTCCTGCTAGGACCCATAAATTTATGAGGCTACCCACCCAATCTTAAATGCAGAGTAGCTAAACCTACGCAAGTACAAACTAAAAGTACTCAACTACCACAAAATTAAAAAAGATAATAGCTAGCTCAGAGAAGGATAAAGGGCAGAATATGGAAAGGAGTATCAAGGTAGCTTCAAAAATAATACTAATATTCTGGGTCTTAAAGTTGGTAAGTAGGTTTATTTTAAAGCATTTTTTGTAACTCACACGTGATACATATTAGTCAATAAAAAATATTACAAAACATAAATATTCCCTAATTTATGAGGATATTAATGTTTCAAAGATCTAAAAATATGCTATTTAAATAGTAAAAATTCAGAATACAACAATAACAATGTCTTCTTTCATATTTCTGCCTTAAAAACTCTTATGATAGGACAGTTACTTAAGCCTAACACATATTAATATTAAAAATACACTTTAAGAGTCAGTATGACTTAAAGATGAACAAACACTGAAACACATTTTAAGTGTACCATAATAAAAGTAGGTAAGTGACTTTTTCAAATAATAGAAGGAAATTAACTTACAAAAATTTTTACCCATCTAATCTTTAAGAATTGGGAAAAGAACATAGTCATTCATTACAGAAGAAACAATAAGCTCTGGGAGCATGGTTTAAGTAACTGAATGTCTAGAATGGCTTAAAATAAAAGGGTGTAAGCTTTAAAAATTTATAATGGAAAAAATGCAATATATTTTCAATCTCTCCCACATACAGTATTTTATTATCGAAGACTTTAAAATAATTAGTCTTTATATATACATAAACCAATCACACACATTACAGACACAGAAGCCCTTACTTTTTCAATCTGAAGTAGGCTGATGCTCTGTTGGTTGGCAAGACAGGATTATACGGATCAGCATCCATGCCTCGGGTGTAACACTCAATAGCTTCATCATATTTTCCTTGTTTAAAGAATGTGTTGCCCTGAAAGAAACGCAAATTAAACAAAATGATTGCAATTCACTATACAGTCATTGTACAGACACGACCCAAAAGCCCTGACAGAGAAACAAGTAAAATACCTAACATTATCCTTCTACGGGCAATATCAACCCATAGAGACATAACAAAGACATTGAGAAGTTGTTTAGAGAAGAGTTTCACCTTTCTGGAAAGCAATATAGCTGATTTTACAGTAATAAGATTTCTCTTAGAGTGATGCTGAACATTCCAAAAGAAACCAAAAATGGCCTATGATATGGCATGGAATATAACACATATGTTAAGAACTGCATACTGACTTTAAATTACAGTACTTTTGTCCACAACTAAAAATTCTGGAACAACTCTGGCACAGTAAGAGCACTTTATATGTAATAATTCATTTAATGCTCACTACTTATTGAAATATAGGGACATCATTAATCTAATTAATAAATAAAGAACTGAGGTATAGGCACTATAAAGAGCTTGTCTCGAACTGGAATCAGGCAATCTGTCTCTGGAATACATACCTCTAAGTTGCAGTATTTCCTTCCATGGGACATCTCCAACGACAATTTAAAGTCCAAGCACTTCCTAAACTACCTATGTTGAGGAAATTTCAGAATTCAGATTTTCTACGTCCTTCCTACCTGAAGGAACCTAAAACTAACTGCAAAAGTACCTTTTCTTTTAGAGCAACAGCCTTTTGTGAATCTATGTGAATCCCATCTTCTTCTGACTCTGACTCCTGAGACACAGAATCGTGGATACTGTCTTCTTTATCAAGCTCATCAAGGATACTGTCCTGAAATTATAACAGAACAGAGCTTATAATTACATGACCATTAGGAGAAAAAATACAATCAACACAACTTACATCATTGTAATTTAAGGGCCTAAGGGGCTATAAGAAGCAATCTAAAAACCCACTCATTGTAATTATAAACAGAGGAAAAAAATGCCCTTGTTTAGAAACCCAAGATCTAAGTCACTTACAGAATCTGACTTTGAACTCATAAAGTAAATTAAGGTAATAATCTACAAATCATCCCTAAGTCACAAATTCTTAGTAGTGAGGTATTTTGACTGAATATAAGAGAAGCTGCAAATTAAATTAAATTAAATTAAATTAAATTAATGGAAACAGCAGCAAAGTTTTTTAAAGCTTTTTTCTTTTTTCACTCAACAATAACAACATTGCTTGAATACACCTCCTGATCCTTACAATAGCTTATGAGGTAGATACAATTACCCATGTGTTTCACACATAAGGGAACTGAAAACATTGAAATTAGTTGCCTCACTCAAGTCACTCAGCTAGTAAGTGACTGAGTCCACCTCCTCTGCAGAGCTCATTCACCATGTTACTACTTTTCAGTGCATTTAAAATATAACCAACCCTACTAAGAAAACATAACATGCTAGTCGGATAGTAGTTCCCAATCTCTTTTTTTACTCATATACTTCTTTTATGATAAGTAATTTTACAGATGCTGTCAGGATTTTTCTAAATTCTGTTTTTATCAGGTGTGAAAGATTTTAATCCTTTTATGCATAGTGTTGTTTTTGGAGCTCCCATAGTAACAGAACATAATAAAATATTTTCTTTTCAAATTACTTTTCTTTTTTGCAACAGTCCCACTCTGGAGTTCAAGTTATCCCTAAACTCATGGCAATCCTCCTGCCTCAACCTCCCACGTTAGCTGGGATCTCTTCAAATACTTGTTCCTTGAATTTTTCTAGGTAGCATATATGAATTTCATGAAAAAATTGCAACTTTCAGCATAAATGGTTTAATAAGCTACATTTTTAGTTGATGCAGAATTGTTCATATGTAGTATGTGCAATGTGACTCTCACTGAATGGATATTAAACACAGATTGAAATTTAGCTATGTTTTAGTATGAAGATTCTAGAAATATCGCCATATCAACATGGTAGCCAATATTATCCAACACTATGCTTACATGTGCAGAAAATTAACAACAACAAATCATTAAAGCAAGAAGTCAGATCTGAACTAGAAGAATGGTAAACAAACGCCTATGCCTTGTATAGACACTCAAATGACAACTCAAACAATACAGTACACGATCAGGATGGCAACGTCCACACACAACAGAAACTGGAATGAATAAATCAGTATGTAGGAAGCATTTCTGTAAGAAATCATCTGACATTATGTCTCTCAGGAATTGGACACTGTGAGAAAACAATGACTTATGAAAAGTAATAGGTTATATAATAAGAGGAAACATCACCCAAAAAAGCAGCCTATAACACACTCAGAAATAAATTTTATGTTCAGAATGTATCTCTTTCAGCAGCAATAAATTCAAGACCGAAAATTATACTTTCTTTATACTGGGACAATACTAAAGCAGATGGCAAACTATTTAAATAGGGGGATAGGTCTCTTGAATCAACTACCTTGTTTTCATTAAGAAAAATCCAATGCAATTAATCTGGAAAACATTATCTTAAAAAGCTAAATGTACATATCCAGTGATGGCAAACTTTTGAGTAAGAAAAGCCTGCTGTGGCATGTTCCATTGATTTGCCACCACTGAAATAAACATGACCCAGCCTGACCCCTCCCACTTGGGTGCCAATCTCCATCCAAAGACAAGTTCAACAATGTTCACTGCAGGTTTATTTGTAATAGTACCAAACTGTAAAAAGCCCTTACTGTTTTCTAAAATATAGCTGTCTCTACCAAAGAAAAAATATAGCATGCTAATTTAGCAATTCTGAATCTCTTTTGACACAACTACTCCTTTCATAGTAATAAATAATTTCATAGACCCTGTCAAGATATTTTAAATTTTATTTTCATTATGATGAAATAATTTTTAGTAAAACATTCCTTTTTGATGTCCAGGTATACATATTTAAGGGGCACAGTATGACGTTTTACTAAATGTATAAAACATATACACAGCTCTTCAATAAGTGTTAATAATGAACAGAGATTATGATATATTTGTACAACATTCTTTTTTTTTTCCGGTACCGTGGATCACGACTGCGTGCTTGCAAGGCAGGCGCTTACACCACTGAGCTAAATCCCCAGCCCCCTACTTTTTTTTATTTGTACAACATTCTTTTCAGCAATGAAATAGAACAAAATATTGCCACTCAATGTGCACCAATATTAGATAATACTAGCAAACAAACCCCCACAAGTGCATACTGCATACATATATTTATATAAAATTCTCAATCTACCATATGAGAGGCCAGAACAGATCTTCTGTGGTGATTCCTTAATTGCAGTGGAAGTTTTCCAGATCTACATGTGATAAAATGTCACAGTAAATTTATTTGTATTTGATGCCAAATACAAAACACTGTACCTGCAATGAGGTCCTTGGTTTTGGATTTTTTTTTTTTTTTTTGTCTTTTTCCTTTTTATCGCTACTAGGGATCGAACTCATGACTGCCTTCTTGCAAGGCAGGCGCTTATGCTGCTGAGCTAAACCTCCAGCCCCCTTGGTTTTGATATTACACTATAGTTAAATAAGATGTAACCACTGCAACTTTGTGCACTATTTTTGTCAAAAAAGAAAAAAAAAAGATAAACTAGGAAAAAATCCTGCTGTCTTAAGTCACCATTCACTAAAAGAGGATTACAGAAGAAACACTGGTCCAGTAATTAAATTTTATTCCACATAAAATAGCCCATAAAGATGACACAGCACAGAGAACTGTACTTCACTTTTCATTTAACCTATGACAAATTAAGGGAAAAACTTTTTTGGTTTTGTTTTATACACTGCTGGGGATTAAGCCCAGGCCTTACATATGGCAGGCAAGTGCTCTCCCACTGAGCGACAATCCAGCACCACCACCCCAAGGTGCCTGTGCTTCTCTCAGCTCCCAAGGAGCTGGGAGTACAGGAGTGCAGCCTTACGCCCAGCTGAGCAACTGTACTCAAATACTAAGCCACAGCAACTTACCACATCAAGTTTGGACCACGCCTCATAATCATAAGATTTTATCCTGTTTTTAGTGTTTTCCTCTTTGGTTTTTTTAGAAGATTCTTTCACTTTCCCTTTCTTCTTTTTCCTAAAATTCCCATTTCGAATAGGAGGTAAACTCTGCAGAGAGAAAAAGAGCACCATTTTGAGCATTCTGCTCTGTCATTTTTTGTATATCTACCAATCCTTAAACTTTTCTTTTTTTTTTGTCTGTTTCCTTTTTATTGGTACCAGGGATTGAACTCACGACTGCCTGCTTGCAAGGCAGGCGCTTATACCGCTGAGCTAAATCCCCAGCCCCAATCCTTAAACTTTTCACTAAATGATATTTTCAAGAATTTCTTTAATTTTCCAACTGTTTCAAAATATCAACTTACTAATTTACCATGTTCACTTATAAGAATTATGCTTGGAAAAAAAAAAGAATTATGCTTGAAAAGTTTAATTCATCCTTTGATGAAAGTTGAACACTGTTGAGTCACAAGTATTATCTTGAAATCCTGTCTCAAAAAAAGAAAAAACAAAAACGAAACATGCCAGTATTATATGGCAATACATCATTAATTATCTAATTATTTTCATGTATGACAAACACTCCTTACACATTTCACGATACTGTTCATTTACCTTTGTCATTCTTTTCATAGCTATTCATTAAGATTTAAAATATCTCAATATACTCAGTACAATTATTACATTTTTTAAAAGAAAAATTCCTAAAAATGTTGATAGTGAAGCAAACTACTTTAACTTTGGTATTTTCACAAAACAAAGCCATACCTGGTTTTAAAATAAAAAGTTATGGTTTTAAAAGCCATACCTGGTTTTAAAATAAAAAGTCCTACTAGCTACTGATTTAAGAATTCTTAACTTACCTCTTCAGGAACACCACTCTGTCTTCTCAGCTCCAAATCCTTTTGCTTAATGTCTTTTTCCCAGTTTTCTAAATCTCTCATGAAGTCTTGTAATTCTTCTGCATTTTGCTTCACTTGTAGTTGTAATTCAACTGCTTTACTTGGTGAAGTCATTATGGCCTGCAGAGTTTTGAATAACCAAACTGTTACTAAGAATTAAATAGACTGACAGGTGCTCCTCAAATTAGAGTTTCTTAGCCATAAACCCATTAACAAATGAAAATACTGTAGTCAAAAATACATTTAATCTACCTGACCAAATATAATTTAGCAAAATAGTACAACTGTCAGTTGCACCTTTATGATCACAGGGCTGAGTAGGAACTGTAGCCCACTGTTACCACTCAGCACTGCAAAAGAGTACCTTCCCATACCTCACCCAGGAAAAGATCAAATCCAAAATTCCAAGCAGTTTCTGTTAAATCATACTGCTTGTTCATTACCGAAAAGTACTCTTATTTTCTTCCAACATTTATTGAACTTCTATATGATAGGTTCAATACCAAGATGCAAAAAAACATGAAAGGCAAGGTCTCTGGTCTAATAGAGAAGAAAAATAAATAAATAACAGAAGTACTGAACAACAAAATTTTGTTAAGCTAGGTTTCTCAATCTTGACATTTTTAACTAACTTTTTGTCAAGGGGGTACTGTCCAGTGCTCAGTCATGCAGTTGGCAACAACCCTGTCCTGTATACAGTAGAAGCCACTCTTCCATATCTCATTGTCAAATAGCCCACAGAAGGCAAAATAAACCTTGGCAGAGAAGCTGGAGTTGAACCACACACAGATGCTCTCATAAAGGAGAGGCAGAAATCAGATTGCAGGTGATGGCATCAGGAAGATGTCCCCCAACATGTTGAAATTGTAATTAGCTTTTGGAAAGGGCCAGTCAAGTGAGAGTAGGCAGGTAAAGAAATTATGAAGGAGAATAAGAAAGTCAAACAGGTAGATACGGGAACATATCTTGAAATGCCAGGCCATGTGAGGTCTAACCTATACCGTATTCCAACGTATTCCAATGAGTTGAGTTGATGAGACTGACATGAGTTGACATGAGTACCGCATTCCATGAGTTGATGAGACTGACAAGATGAAGAGTACACTGATTCAGACAATGTTCTTTCTAGCTTTCAGGCTTGCAAGTCTAGTAAGATTAGTGATGCCACCTAACCTGAGTCAGAAAATATAATTTTAAAAATATGTTTCAGATTGAGAGGGCAAATGGTCAATAGCATTGTTTTAGTTCGGGACCAGCTGAATTTGAGTACTCATGCAACATCAGCAGGCTATAAAGGACTAGAGATAAATTTGAAAGTCACCAGTTGGGAGCTAGAATCATAGATTTAGACCAGTCTAGCCATTGGCTACTGAGAGATACAGGGAACATAAAACATACTAATATTTAAGAAAAATAGGCAGCACCACCTAGAGAGCTAGAAGACTAAAGTATGGTGTCAACAGAGGACCAAAGGGAATGAGTTCAACGAAGTGGGAAAGACTGGCAATGCCAAATACCACAGAGGGCATAGAAGAAAAGAAGTGCACTATATTTAGCTATATAACAGTTACTGCCTACTAATGTAAAATCTGCTCTTGAATCTTGTCTGGATGATCAAGGAACAAGGAAAAGGATATAGGAAAGATGATGAGTGATGGGGCAAGGTTCCCCAGAGTAAAGGAAAACTTAAAACCATAAAGGGAAGAATGCAAGGTAAAAAGAAGGGATTTGAAACTTGCTTAGAATGGAAAAAAACAAAAAGGACACTTAAGCAAAAGTCGTATATGATGGCTCTTCTGACCCTCAGCCTCAAGAACTATGCCTAAATTGCTTTCAAGCAGTTCCATGTTAGATTATAATATATGTGTCTCATTCAAACAAAACTTGTGCAATATTTTGCTGAGGACTCAAAAAAAAAAAAAAAAAGTGAAAGCGAGGGAAGCTCCTGGGACTGTGCAGGTGAGCTGAAAATTTCTTTACACCTATTCACCCATGCCGCTCCCACCGGCACAAGCGCTCCCATGAAACCAGCGGCAGGCCGCGATCTGGGCTGAGATCCCGGCGGGGAACCAGAAACTTCCAGCACTTGGGGGGGAACCATTTTCACACTTAACATCCGGGCGCGCCTGTGCACCCGCACAGACAGGAAAGTGGCTGGGACGTCTCAGCCGCAAGTCGCCCATTGCCGGGGTGCCCGGTGTGGAGACCCCTCTGCAAAGCTTAAAGCCCTGGGTCGCACGCGGCGAGTCCCTCCTGGAAACCCGCTGCCCCGGACGCCGCTAACCTGGATACCGCCGCGCTGCCACAAAGCTCCCCGCCCTCGCCCAGACAAAACGCATGCCCCCGCCTCGCGCTCTAGATCACAGTGCTCTACGGCCGGCGCTAACAGCCGTGCCAGCTCACCTGTCCCGGCCGTCACCGGGTGCTCCGCCGCCCCTCAGACCCGCAGCTACTCGCCAGCACCGCCCCGGCTTCCCACAAGGCCGGGTGAGCCCTCGCCCCGCCCCGGAAGCCCGGCTCGCGCGTGCGTAGAACGCCAAACTAGCTAGCCCAGGTTGCCTGTTTAGACCTATGCGAGTGCTGGAAGCGTTTGCAAAATCCCACCCTCTCACACCCCTGTTACAAGCCTATGGTAAGTAGAGAACTCCAAAACTGCAGTGTCAGCCCGACTTACTCCGACCCCCAAAGCAATATAAAGCCTTAAACTTTATTTCTTTGGATTTCGTCAATTTTGTCTCTAATATTTGTCTAGCAAGATGTCCTGACCTTTTTACAATAAGACAAAGTTACAGTTTCCCTTCCAGGTAGGAACGACTAATGTAAACTGGTGGTCGCGGAAATTTTGTGGGGTTTGTTTCTTTCTGAGTCTTGTGTTTGACAGAGCCCTTCCCGTCTGCCTCCTTTGAATCTTTTTTTTTTTTTTTTTTTTTTTTTTGGTTTTTCCTTTTTATCGGTACCGGGGATCGAACTCACGACTGCCTGCTTGAAGGCAGGCGCTTATGCCGCTGAGCTAAACCCCCAGCCCTCCTTTGAATCTTTTGCAGGAAAATTCTTTCCTATTCAACCCGGTTTGTATCCTGAGTGACGTGTGTCTGTATTAAGGTCTATCTTTGGATACATCCTGGCAGAGAAGATGGAAGAAGCTGTTAACACTTTTTGCTTCTCACTTTTGTAAGTGAGCCTTGTCATTATTGTGATGACTCTGAAATTATAAAATAAAAAAATTAAAGATCCATGAAAACATGTACATTTTTTTCCAAATTGTATCAGTTCCATGATCCCTAAGCTATTCCCAAAATTCAGATCCTAGTTCTCATTTCTCAAGTTTAACTGAACTTTTGAGTCACCTAGGGAGGCATATATACCATATGTATATAGTGCCCACAAAAAAAAAAATATACACACTTCAAGAAAAGAAAAAAATTCATAAAAATTTTAATACTAAATTTATTGGAATATCATGAGATTAATATAACTTACCTTTGGCCTCATCTGTTACCAAAGGTGCTCAAAGTGGTGACCATTAATTTTCACACATTTATTAATATGGTGAACTGCTGCTTGAGTAACCTTAGTCATTGAGGTTGCTGCACATACATTTTTAACTTTTTCTAAGAAACAGCAGTGTAGTGGATTTTCCATGATACACAACATCATCCAGGGTTCCGCACACGAGAGTAACACAATTGTAAAAACATCATACTATTTTTCTTTTCCTGAAGTGCCTATACATTTTTTGGCAGATGTATACATTTATCCATACACAGAGGAAGAGAGACAATGAGAGATGAGAGCCAGAGCAAAAGTGAAAGCAACATTAAGACTTATGGAGCCTGGCTCAGAGGTCCTGAGTCCATTAATCTGTTGTGTAGGCAGCTTCAGCATGAGACCTTTTAAGAATGTAGACAAACAATTCAGGCTGGGAACCACTAACCCAGGCACTATCAATGAAAACTACTTTAGGGACATCCCTCACAAGGTCATATGTTGTCATTTAATTTTCAAATGATAGTACTTAAATTATTAAATGCCTGGCCAAAATATTTACTAATATAATGATTTAGTTATTGTTGCTGTTGTTACTGAGATAAATAATTGGCTTCTTTCCTTTACATTTCTGTGTATCAAATCCAGGATCTTGTGTAGCACACTGGTCTTTAATAATGATTTACTGATGTCTTAACAAAAGCTACTTGTATTTATTTTATTAATTTTTGCAGAATTGATATAGATGAGAAATAACAGGGCCAACTGGATGGTTTGGTAAAACTTCAAATTCCTTTGAGTAGTGAGATCCTTCTCTTCCCCTCTCTCTGTTTCTCCCTCTCTCCCTCTCTTCCTCCACATAATTGTCACATTACTTAGTTAATACAGAATCAAAGGAAGAAGAGTTAACCAAATGCTGACCTAATTCTGAGGCTCCTTTTACCTTCCTAAAAAATAAAATTTATGCCTATAGTGGTGCCTTTCTCTCCCATGAACTCAGACTCCAGTTATCTCATTTTCTAGGTAGCATTCAGGCCTTTGCACTTTTACTGATAGTTGTCTTCAGTGTGTTAGAATAACATTAGTAAACCTTGCTTTTCTTTTAAGTCTTTTTATTCATTTGTTTATTTGTACCAGAAGAAATCAGACATCTCACTGAACTTATTGTTAATATCTGAATAGTCACTTTCAAAAAGAGCATCTCTTTATGTCATTTATATGTTGAAATTATAATGATCAGTGGAAATAAACATGTACATTGCTGAGATTGTGAAATGCTGCAATTAATCATTGTGAATGCTATTAATTTTACATCCAAAACTATTATTGTGCTCTTTCAAATAAGTGAGGAAAGATTCTGACAGTTAATGTAACTCTTAATAAAGAGGATATTGACTAAATAACTTTAGGAAGAACATTTATGGGTTTTGAGATTTCCTACTACAGGAATTTCCTATTACAGTAAACCATTTGGTGGTATGTGACAGAAAGCCCAGAATAAAAGTACCTTAAACACAACTGAACATTATTTTTCTCTTATGTAAGACTGAATATAAGCAATCCAAGACTGATATGACAATGCCAGTATCAGGCCCAGGGTTCTAGTACCTGACTGCACTATTCTCTTTGGCATGTGGCTTTTGCCCCTGGTAGAGTATGATGCTCAAGCTTCAGCAGTTTTGTCTGAAATAAAGTCAGCAGAATCAGAAAAGAGTAGGCATGATGGTGCTTCCCACAAAGACATCACCCCATCCAGAGTGCTTCCACTTACATGCCATTAGCCAGGTTTAGACATGATGTCACCAGGAACCCAGGTCCTGACTCTGAAGAACCTGCCCTCACAAACCTCCAGGGTCTTTTTTCCCTTTAATGAAAGAATTCAGTCAAGATACATAAGCAGCCATGTAGATATACAGGCAGAATGTATTATAAATCAAATATTGAGAGATATATGTCTGCAAGTGACCAGGGAGGCAATGCCACATAGGCATCTGCACTGAGCTGGAGTTTGGACAGCTTTTTATGTACATGAGAGTTACTCCTGGGGTTCAGAGAGTTATGGTGATTATGATGTTTACTAACTGGCCTTTTTCCTTAGAACTACAAAATGTCTTATTTGTCAGATGGTCAGTGCTCCCTTAAGGGCCTTAATCAATAAATAACTTGTGAAGGAAAGAGAAAATTCTAATCTAAGGGAGGTCCCAGCCCAAGGTGGGAAAATCTTTAAAGAATATTTCCTTTCACAGTGATATAGGACCTCCAAATAGTCCAAATAATATAAGGGAAATACTCCAACGTGCTAGTCTGCTAGATATCTGATTCAAATTTGTGTTCTCTAAAATTGAAAAATAAATTCCAGGAACAGCTGAGGTTAAGAGCAGAAAATATTTCTTGAAGGAAAGAAAACTACATTTATCGGGGAAAGACAGCTTCTGTGTAAGAGAAACAGAAGGGTACCTGAGTAGGTTGCCAAGGACCCTGCTTCTCGAGTTTTATAGAAGTCTTGATACTGATGGCATTTGGAAAGGTAATAGTCCAAAATCACATCAGAAAGGGCAAGATACTGACCCTCAGGAGTGCATATGGGGAGGCTGCTGCCTCTTCAATGGTTTTACCTGCAAAGGCACTTCTGGCAACCATGAGGTCTGAAGGCCTCTGATGTCTTCTGCAATGAGGTACATCAGCCTGGAGAAGGACTTTAATGAGTGGGACATTAATGACTGAAAAATCCTCAGGAGGTGAGAAATCCCCTTTCTGCTCAGACGGCAGCACAGTTATATGGTACATGGAAGCATACTTGGAGTATGCACAGATGTTAACTGATAGGCCCTTAGCTAGTGTAAGTGGACATAGATCAGAGCAGTCAGTTTGGCCTGTTGAGAGGTAGTGGATGAAGGTAGAACTGTAGTTTCTAGGATGGAATCACTGGAGACTATCGCATATCCTGTCCTGGCAGAAGAGCTGGGAGTGGGCTTATATGAACTCCCACCAATGAACCAGTTGTAGTCATGGATAGGAAGGAGAAAGGTTGAAGTATGAGAAAAGGGAGAGGTTTCCAGGTGTATTAGGAGGATGAGAGCAAAGCTGGGAACCCACAGAGTATAAGCATCCTTCTGTATGGAGAAAGGACAGGAGTTGTTTTTTGGTTGTGGGGGATTGAATCTGGACAATCAACTGATGTGGCCTGGAGATAGGACTAGGGCATGTTCGCAGAGAATAATGCCCAGATAAGTCACAGATGGGGAAGCAATTTGGGCCTTAGAGGAAGATACACAATATCCCTTTGAAACTAGATTTTGTAATAATGAAAGGAAGTCTTTACAGGACAACTGCAGAGGAGGAGGTCATCTACATACTACATGAGAAGAAAGGGAGAGGGTTCAAAAGAGAGCAAGTCATGAGCAAGGGCCTGTCCAAAATTGTGGGGGCTGTCCTGGAAACCCTGTAACAAGACAGTTCAGGTCAGCTGTTGGGACTGATGAGTGTTAGAGTCAGTCCAGGTAAAGGCAAAGAGAGACTGTGAGGAGGGGTGCATGGGAATAGTAAAAAAAGTCATCTTTTAGACCTAAGACAGAGTAATGAGTGGTAGATGAAGTAATGGAGGACAAAAGCATGTAGGGGTTAGGTGCTGCAACCCACACAGCGCTTGAGGTTCTTTGGGTGAAGGACTGCAAAAGGATGAGAAAATAAAGGAGACAAAGCTGGGGTCAGGCAAAGCCCTTACTCTCTGGATGGAGGAAAGGAACTTCCCCCTCCCTGCAGGAGCATTTATTTATACATTTTAGCAACTTAATGTCACATGACACCCTGTTGTCCTAGCAACCCATTGTTCGGATTGTCTTGGGACTAGGTGTTCTCTGGGCTGAAGCAGCTTCTTCATGTGGCTTGCCTCAGATGCTTTTTTATTCTTGGGATGGCCATGCCCCAGCCTTGCACATGTAGTCAATTTCCAGCTTCAACAGCTCCCAACAGTTTGGCACCACAGAGTATATGGGAAGGACAATCTGACTGATAGTGCAGAGCTTTTGCACCAGCCTATAAGAGCCATCTGTCTTCTGTACCAGGAGACTGGAGTTGTTATAAAGGAAGTTGATGGGAATTAATAGACTATGCTACAATAGGTATGAAACAATAGGTTGTAGTTCC